CATATCTTTCCCTCTGATTACCCAGTTTGAATTATTGACATCTGTCAGTCAATGAGGACATACTTCCGATTGCAAATGTCTTTTACTATTTATTCCGCTATTCCTTGAGAAAATTTTATATGTATACAAATCGTAATCCCTGAGTTCAAGTTGAAAAAAAACTTGTTCAATTTCACCCAACAATGATTTAACAATGATGAGAAAAATAATCTATTTCAATTTTTCCTCTACGTTTCTATAATTCAAGAGAAAAAATATATTTGTATGGAAAATTTTCCTTTATAATATATTTCAATAATTTTAAATTTAATTTTGTAAACATAAACAAGTAGTCCGCTACTTTGAAATTTTTTAAATTTGACATCAAATTTATAATCAACGATTCGAAAAAATTGCGAGTACCAAATATAAAGATTTTAACTTCTGATCGCCATATTAGATCCATTTATAAAAAATAAATTATTTGACGATTGGATTTTATATTTTTTCAATAATTTTCTTTTCTTTTACAGATAAAAGTTTGTTTTTATATAGTTCATCTAGTTTTCTATTAAAGCAAAGAAAAATAATTTTTATTTTAATTTTTAAGTAGTGAGGGTCAATGTGTCAGACAAATCGCACTTATTATTATTTCAGTAGAAAAAGTAAAATAAGTCAGCCTATTTACAGATAATTACTGAATGGAAAAGAATAAAAAATAATCACTATTTGTTTTTAAGTAGAAAAGGCTATTTTTCATCAGACAAGTTTTTATCGACGAGAAAACTGTTAAAACAAAATATAAATTCATTTTTAAATAGAAAAAGTCGTGTTTGGTCAGACAAATTCCACTTATCACTGAAGGAGCCGACAATAATACAAATAAATAAAATAAAAAGCGTTAATTTTTCTAGTTAATTTATATTTAATAACAAAAGTAAATAATTATTTTAAGTTTTAACTTTATAGTTATTGTTAATATTTATTCATTTATTTATTTTATTTATTTTTATCATTACGATTATTCATTTCTAAAATTTTCAACTAAAATTCTTCTAGATATAAGTAAATTTTTTTTAAATAATGTTTGAAAAAGTTCTTTGTGAATTTTCAAATTCTTTTGTTTACAATTTAAATGAATAAATATATAAATAAATTTAATTTAAAGAAATTTCGATTATTATGACATTTTTCAATTAAATATATTAGAAATTAAAAACTTCAAATAATTAAAAAAAAAAATTCCATTAAACTCATTGAGAAAAATTAAATCTATAGAATTCTTAATTAAAAGTATGAAAAGTTCAAATTTTCAAAGATTTTAATTTGAAATTCATTTTTAAATCAATATTTATTAGAAAATTCTACGAGAATTTAATTATTTATCTGTAAAAATAAATATTTTATTAAACAATTGAATTTTTTTTAACATTGAATTTTCATAAAGAATTTTATCGACAAATTTTTAAATAATTGAATTCTCTTGACAAATTTTAATAAAACTTTTAAGAATAATTGCATTTTTCGAGAAATTTGATGAAAATTGTATTAAAAATAATTGAAATTCATCCGTCAAGAATTTTATTAAAAGTTTTTGAAAATAATTAAATTTCAGAAAAAATTTTATTACTTATAACAATAATTGAAATTTCGGCAAGAATTTTTTGTAAATTTTTAAACATAATTGAATTTCTGTGAAGAATTATTAAAATTATTTTGAAAAAAATTGAATTTTTACGCAAAGAATTTCATTAAAATTTTAAAAAATAATTTTATTCTAAGTTCAATTAAAAATGTATTGAAAATAATACTTAAGTTATTTATGAAAATAATTGAATAATATATGAAAATAATTTGTAAATAATTGACTTCCTGTGAAATTTTCATTATTTATGAAAATAATTAAATGTTTGCGTGTAGAATTTTATTAAAATTTTTTTTAAATAATTGAATTCTTTTAGAAATTTTTATTAAAGTAGTAGATATTAAAAATCATTGAATTCAGGAAAGTTTTTGAAAATAATTAAAAGTTTGACAAGAATTTTATTAAAATTTTTGAAAATAATTGAATTTCTGAGAAGAATTTTACTACTTTTGAAAATAATTGAATTTCTGCAACAATTTGTACCTAACTGCTTCAAAATTAAATTAATTTTAGTGTTTTTAACTAAAATTCTTTTATAAATCCATTATTTTTAATAATCAATTAAATATATATATATATATATATATTAAAAAATTTAACTAATTTCAGAAGAACTTTAGTTTTAAAATTGTTTTTTAAATCTAAGTTTTTTTTATATTTCTAATTAAATTCATTTAAAATTGTCTTTTGAAAAAAATTTTCTAGGATTTCGATTAAAATTCCCCGACTTTTCCAGGTTTTTACAAGGTTTATAAAATTCCCTGACATTTCCAAGTTTTCCATGTTTAAACATATTTCTAAAAGAAAATTATTTCCTCACCTATAGAGTCGATAATTTTATGCTCATGTAATTAAAATTGTATATCGATAAAGTGCCTTTAATGACTATATTTAAACAATGGAAATAATAAAATATTTTTAGTAAACTATTGTTGTTTTATGGCATTGAAATGATTGTAAAATGTGTCTCTGCCATACATATAGGTACAATATTTACTCTATTCATGGTATTTGTATTCACGTATTTCTGATTATTGTTGATCATTTCACAACTTTACAGGCAATGAGACAATAACCAAATGTCGTCGGTTTATGATCGTATATTTCAGACCGACTCGTCACACTTCCAATATCGTCAGGTGCCCATTGGAGGGGCAATTTTCACGAGTCTTGTTTTTACGATCATAACGCAGTGACCATTTTGTCTCATTTTTGCAATATTACTCTCACATTGGGAATATTCTGATGTTTAAATTTCCTCTTCCTTTTTTCTTCACTCTTCACCTTCAACTTCACACTTCACTCTTCATAAAAAATGCAAACAGAAGTACATTTCAAAATTTAAAAAAATTTCCACTTTACTCGAATTGAACGCGTTTTTTAAAAATGATTTTAAAAAGGAAAAATTATTATCATTAATTTATTAAAACGAGAAAAAAAATTTTTTTTAAAAATAAAACGTTTTCGCTTTTATAATAAAAAAATAATGCAAATAATAACAATAATTAATTGTTAATAATAGTTATAGTAAATAATAATAAATATCAAGTCCCGTTCTTTCTAAATTTGAATTATAGTAACAATGTTTACTGATTTTAATTAGTTAATAACTTTTTGCTTTTGAATTAGTAACTTTTACTAATAAACAGTAATTTCTACTAATTTATTAACAATATATTAGAATTTTATTCTTTTTTTTTGTAAAATTTAATATAAAACGTTACATTTATAATAGAATTTTGATAAATGGGAAATTATAAATTTATATAAGTAAATTAAACTTTTTGTATCAGAACTGTAGCTGGTAAAAGGTAAATGTTCAATTTTCCCCTATATATATTGAATAATTAATATGTTTAAATTTATATAAATTTAATCGATTAAAGAACATTTGTGAAATATGCGATTTATTAAAAGACGAGTTTATATAGACGAGCTATTTTTTGCTCACGTAGATAGTTGCCGTTTTATTATTAGAAAGTTGTGATATAAATATGAACATAAATCATAGACTATAATCTAAAATGACTGAAAGACGTTATTGACCTTAATAGTATAAAAAAATTTCAGGACAATAGAAAAGAATTATATTTCAATATTTGTTTATCATTTTTCTTTTTTTTTTTTTTTGCATAAATATACTTTTTTGCATAAATGTTCTTTTAACAAATCCCAGAGTTTTAAATATATTCTTTGCTCTCTTTCTATTTTGAAAAATTTTACCCTGGGAGAGTGAATAAATATAAACTGATTAAATTTTAATTAGTAAAAATGTTTAATAATTTTGAATTAGTAACTGATTTTTTGCTTTTGAATTTGTCAATTTTTCTAATAAGTGAGTAGAAATATTATATGTAACAAAATTCATAAATTAAGAATGTGATTTTTTTCAAGATTTAAAAATTTTCAATATCTTATCGCTATTAAAATTGATAATTAATTAATTTTTTTCCAACAGTCACACGAATATCTTTTACTTACTCTGCTAATTGCATGCATTGTGTCTATAATTACCGATATTGGCAAATTTTATATTTTATTTAATTCTTATAAAATTTTAATACTCAGAATTTGTCGAGTGAATAAAATTCTTCTCACTATTGCATGTTAGACAAAGTTTTTTTTTCTTTTCCTCAAATAGGTGTTGGTGTTAATTAAACTTTTTATTTCGAATAAGATCAAATACTAAAACTATATCTATAACAGTAGGAGAGGGGGCGGGGGGTTAGGAGATCGATAAGAAAGTGAACAAAATCGGAACAGTTATAAATAAATGTGTAGAGAAACAATTCTAAATACCATAAGACAAGAATAGAATGCATATATATATTCTTAGATTCATTTACCTCTTATTATAAGTATCGATTGAAAAACTCTTCGAAACTGTAAGAATATGTCGCATTTATTAAAAGACACTAGTTCTCTGACATATAAATACAAAATTATTATTGAAGAAATGCAAAAATAGTTTTCTCTCATCTTAAAATATCAAACAGATAATTTATTATTTGTGCACAAAATGTGATATTATTGCTTTTCATGTCAATACTAAAGACATATAATATATAAAGATAATATCAAAACTACAAATATGAATTTAAAGGAAAAATTAAAAAAAAATTTAAAATTTAAAAATTAAATTAAAATTAAAAATTTTAACGTTTTGCATTATATTTTTAATTTTTCCTTTAAATTCACTTCAAAAATAAAATTTAAAAAAAAACATTAAAAATAAAAATAAAAATTGTAGATACAAAATTTTAATATAATATTAATGGTAGCATTAACGTTAACATTAGTATTGATAGTAAGATTAACATTGAAAGTAATAATAATTTCTTTTAATTCATTTTAATATTCATTAATTTTAGTTGTTTGAAAAGAAAGATTCGATTTCAAAAACGAAATGCCATCAGTTTTTTGGAAAATAATTTATTTACATTAGTTGGTGAATAGTTAATTTTTTTTCTTCGTTAACTGAATGTAAAAATTAAATAATCATAAAAACCTTGACGATATAATCAAATCCATAGCCTTCCTGACCGACAAATTTCAATGTAACATTATTTGTTCCAAGACTTCCATATTCAATACTAACTTCAGCTCCAGTACCATTTTTCCATTGATCTTCAACAATAAGTTGTGTAATTTTCATTAATTTGCTCAAAAGTACAAAATCATGAAAAATTGGAACTTTTGACGGTTTTGCCTTTTGCTTTACGACACTTTCCATAATAAAAGTGTCACCGTTTATTCTCGAACCAAAAATGAAATCGAGAGAAATATTTTTTCCACTATCTTCATTCAGCATTGTTGGATGACCACTGATTGTACTTACGATGATAAATATCAAAGTTGTCGCAAAAGTGAAAATGAAAATATTTTTGTTCATTTTGGAATCGAAATCACTTTTGTATACTTGAGGAAGGTTAATTTTTTATCTGAAATAATAATTAAATATTAAGTTTGTTAATAATAATATATTACTAAATATTAGTTTCTTTTAAAACTAAAAATCTGCAATATGTTATTTTTTAATTTTTATTTATTAGAATTTAGAAGACATTTTATTATTTACATACTTACGAAACTTATTTTTAATTTTAATTATTTACAAGTTCCTATTATTAAAATTATATTAACAATTATGTCAAATTGGAATAATGCAATCGATTTATAAGTCAATGGATGAGAAATCATATATTTAACTCTCAAGATAAGTTTTTATCGTAATTTTAGATGAATTTTGTTCCCTTTCAAGTGGATTTGCAGCAAAATTCTTTTTTATACAAATTATATGATATCTGACGATAAGATTAGCAATTTTATTCTTAATTAAATATTCTCAATTCGCAAAAATTTTTTGTTTACAAAAAGTAATAGAATTTAATTATTTTCTTAATGAACAATTTTAAGAAGCTAAAATTTTGATCTGTTTAATTATTTTATTGATGTCTTCTTATCAAATTTTTTTTTCAATTTCAAATTTACAAAACTACTGCGGGAATAAAATCCTTAACATTTTGAAAGACTGGTTTTTTGTATCATCAAATTTTTTAAATTTAATAATTTTTAATAAATGAATAGATGTTTTTGAAAATAATTTATTTAAGGGCATTTGAAACTTGATAACGTCACACATGCTTTGCACAAACTGAAACGTCATCAAGGTTCAAATGCCCTTAAATCAACAATTTTTCTTAGTAACATGATTGAATGTACGAATTAAAAAATATAGATCTTGACGAGATAATGGAATCCATAGCCTTCCTGACCGACGAATTTCAATGTAACATTATTTGTTCCAAGACTTCCATTTTCTATACTGACATCAGCTCCAGTACCATTTTTCCATTGATCTTCAGCAAAAATTTGTGTAATTTTCATAAAACTTTTCAAACGTATAATGTCATGAAAAATTGCAACTTGCGGTTTAGCCTTTTGCTTTACAAGACTTTGCATAACAAGTCTGTCACCCTTTATTCTCGAACCAAAAATAAAATCGTTGGAATTATTTTTTCCACTATCTTCATTTATCATTGTTGGATGACCACTGATTGTACTTACGATGACAAATATTAAAACTGTCGTAAAAGTGAAAATGGAAATATTTTTGTTCATTTTGAAATCGAAATCACTTCGTATAGTTCAAAAATTTTAATTTTTTATCTAAATTAAATAATTAATTAAATAATTATACAATTAATTAAGAATTAATTATTAATTTTGATAATTATTTTTACTTAAAAATTATATTGACAATTATGTCAAATTGTAATAATGCACTCGATTTATGAGTCAATGGATGCGAATTCTTATTTATTTAACTCTCAAGATAAGTTTTTATCGCAATTTTAGATGAATTTTGTTCTCTTTCAAGTGGTTTTGCTGTATAATTATTTTTTTAACAAAGTATTGATTTCTGGCGATAAGATAAACAATTTTATTTTTAATTAATAAAATAAAAAAAAAATTTTACTTTTAATTAATAAAATGAAAAATAAAATTGCTAATCTTATCGCCAAAAATCAATAATTTGTATGAAAAAATTTTTCGCAAAAAATTTTTGTTTCCAAAGAATAATACAATTGAAAATAATTATTTTCTTAATCATCAATTTGAAGGAGCTAAAATTTTGAACTGTTTGATTATGTATTTTATTGATGTCTTCTTATCAAGTTTTTTTTCAATTATAAAACTGCTGCGAGAAGCGAACTCCAACTTTCAGACTGTGAGACTAGAACGCTAACCACTAGACTATGAATCCTAAAATTAAGTTATTATTTTAAAATTCGTTTTTTGATTAAAGCCTTACGTAATTTATGAACGATCTCTAATTTAAAAAATTAAAATTTAATAATTACAGTTGATTTTTTGTCTACTTCTGTTGACAATAAATAAAATAAAAACTTCTGTTGATATTATTGTATTTATTTCGAAAATTTTATTATTTATTTCGAAAATTTTATTATTTAATTCGAATACATCATTATTTTGTGACTATTATTGCCCTTGGGTAAAAAATGGATTCCTTATTGACCTAGGACAATAATAAGTTCCTTATTAACCTAATACAATAATGGTTCTCTTGTTAACCTAGGAAAATAATAATTTCCTTATTGACCTAGGGCAATAATGGGTTTCTTATTGACCTCTAGGCTATTAGAGTGAACTTAGTATGCACCTCTATTTACGTACGTAAAGTGACTACAATTCCCCTGAGTTGTCATACAATAATTTATTTTTTAAATTTATATAAAAATAAATATTCAATTGTTATACTCATCAGGAAGTGTTTTTAAAGTGTATACTTGAAGAAGAAAGTCAATTCCATAACTTTCTTGACTTTTGAATGTAAGCGTGAAATTATTCTCCTCAACACTACCACTCTCCAATGTGACATCAGCTCCAGTTCCGTCTGTTTTCCAATCAACAGCAGCGATTTGAGTAATGTTATGTCCCAAATGAATAAAATACGTCGCACTTTTAATGACAATTTTCGACTTTATTGCCGGAGCAGTTACATTTAAGTCAATGTAAAGTTTATCACCCGGTTGTCTCGATCCAATAATTAAATTGTGCGAATTGTTTGGTTTTTCTTTATCTTCATTATTAATATTATTATTATTATTGGAATGTTTATCAGCAGTTATTGGCCAGATATTTACAATCAAAATTAATGACGTCACGAATAGAAAAACAATACTTTTCTCAAATGTCATTTTTATTTTTAAAAAAGAATGTGAATGATAGAGTTTTTAATTAATATGATTAATAAAAATTACTTCTTTCTATATAAATAACGATTATGACTTAATCTCAACGATAAGGATTTTTTTTATCGAAATATTTTGATAAGTCTGCATATATAAAAGAAGTGGTAAATTTTTTATTGATGTTACTTAATGATATAACACTGATTTATTTTAGTCTCTAATTTGTATAAACTATCGGGCGGATTCTAATAAAGTTAACAAAGGAATAGTGAAGAAGAGCACACGACGTACGACATTCGCCATCGAATGGCAACGGAAAATAGATTAACATTTACTAACAAACTTATTTAAATACTAATTGATATAATAAATAAATTTAATAATTAAGAATAAGAAATCAATGCAACAAGACAATTTTCAAAAAATAAGAATTTGAATTCAATATAACGGGACACAATTTACTAAAAATCATTATAATATTGTAATTATAATCTTATTAAAAAATTAATTGAAATTAATTAAAAAATTAAAAGAAATAAAAAAATTTAATTTAATTAAAATAAAAAAAAGTATATTTTAATTATTCAAAAAAATTGAATGATAAATAATTATTGAAAATAAGTACCATACGACACAATTTTTTTTACAAAATAAGTTTAATTATCTATTTGAGAAAATTTACAAAAATTTTTTTGTTTCAACGGGCAAATATTTTAACGATAAAATGAATTCCATGGCTTCGTTGACTTTTAAATCTAAGAGTGGCGTTCCTTTTTCCAACACCTCCACTCTCCAGTGTAACGTAAGCTCCAGTTCCATCAATTTTTTGATCTAATGCAGCAAGTTGTGTAATATTTTTGCCGGCTTGAAGAAGGAATTGCACACGTCTCGTTACAATTTTAAATGTCGATGCACTTGCCGTTATATTCTGTTGCATTACAAGTCGATCACCAGGTCGTCGCGATCCAATGATGAAATTGTGAGAAATATTTTTTCCACGATTATAATTATTGTATCCCGTTGTTGGCGAGACATTTGCAACTAAAATTAAGGCCGTCGCGAATAAAAGGACAAAAATAATTTTCTCGTACGCCATTGGAAAAAATGTTACTTTTAGGATTTAAGACTTAAAAACACTTTCAATTTTGAATTATAAATTTATAAATTCGTTTGTGGCGAATATTGTTAGAAGACTGTTGTAGATTGATGAGTGTTAAAGGCTTTTAAGTAGGTCTTGCATAAATGTATTCTTATCAGTTTTTATTTTTATTTATTTTTATTTTAACAGTCAGACGAAAAGTGGTTCTTGAAACTTTATTTTCTACATGAATTGTTATGAGTCATTGATGACACATGTGATTTTTGTGATAAGATTTTCTATTATCATTAATTAATTGAAAACATATTTTTTTCGATTGAAAAATGTCGAGCAGGAAAATAATGACGTAGTAACTAATAATATATTATTAACGTATAATATATACGACCAGGAAAAAAAATACAGCGAACACTTATTTTTAATTTACAGTTAAAATTCCATTCGTTCATTTGAAACGATTTCTCATAAGTGGATAATGTAACAAACTATCCAAGATTTTGTGATTTTTGTTTTTTATTTATTTAAATAATATTAAATAGTATCAATTAATAATAATTTATAACTTATTCATTAAAGCCAGAGAAATATGTTAAAATTTCAATTTTAAATGGTAAATCTGTTGTTTTTATTTTACATAAAAATGTTAATTACTTTTTGTGATGTAAAAAAACTTGTGTTATTGCCTATTATTATTTTTCACTTTTAACCATATTTTATCTAATAATTTTCAAATTATTAAATTGACATGTTTCACATCTTCAATTACAAAGTAAATTATAAAAAATGCCTTTTGTTTCCGGTATTGTTTTAGATTTATGAGTGAAAAAAAACATAATTGTCTAAATTGTAGGTATGCTTATCAGTTTTTTAAAATTTCGTTTTGTTTTTTGTTTCCTACTCTTCAGACTAAAAATACTTCTCTTAAAACTTCATTTTCTATAGAATTATTATGAATCATTAATATCACACCAGATTTTTGTGATAAGATTTTCTATTATCATTAATTAATTGAAAACATATTTGTTCTCATTTTTCGGTTTGAAATAAATAAATAAAATAATAATAATAATAATAAAATATTTCTTTATTGTTTATTGTTTAAAAATGCATTAATAGCATCTGACTGTTAGAAATTAAATGTTAATTTCTCAACCGTTTTTCTCTTAAAATATTAAATAAATTCAGCTATTTTTTTAACAACTCTAAAATAGCATGAATTTTTTGAATGACAATTTTTACCTTAACTATTAAAAAATAATTGGAAATATAAATTGTTTTTAAAAACTCAAAAAATATGAGTAACTTTTATTAATGTAAAGACAAATTACAAAATTTGATTTGTGTTTTATAAATTGAAAAGAAAACGAGAATAATTTCGAAAATTCAAAACAAAATATTAATTCTATATCAATTATAATTGATTTGATTTATTTTTAATTAAAAAAATTTACAAAATGATGATACACGTTGTTTGCTTAGTCAATTAATAAATAATTACCTTAAATTAATTACTATCAACTTAACTTTTTTAAATAAAAAAAATATTTTTTCAAAAACTTTGATGGAAATAGTAAATTGTTATAATTATTTATTTATTACATAATTAATTAATTATAATTGATTAAAATAATATTTAATTTTGAAAAGAAGATTTTTTTCAATGACGAGGATAATAAGTTCCGTAAATTTCAACGTCAAAATTGATTCCATGTCCGCGTTCGGATTTAAATCGTAGCGTAACATATTGTGCTTGTGGTCCTCCGGCAGTAAGTGCAACGTGAGCACCAGTTCCATCATTTTTGTGATCGTATGCAGCAACTTGTGATATGTAACCAGTAACGTTGAATCTTCTTTCAACGACGACTTTTCTTAACCATTTAGATGGCTCAATAACATTTGTCTTAAACAATAATTTATCATCCCAATGTCTTGCACCAGTTGAAAAATTATGGGATTTATTTTCTGAATATGAATCCACACTTTGAATTCCGTATGACGATACTGTCAATGCCAGAATGAAGGTTGCAATGATGAAAATACATTTTTTCGCTTCCATATTGATTCTTTTTTCTCTCTATTTGTTGGCGAAAAGAATTAAAATTATTAAAAATTATTTATTAGAAAAATAAAATTATTTATTTATTTTATAAATCATTTATTATATTAATTAGTTATTTAGTCAAAAAGTACAACATATGGCAATATTGTCACCATATGTTCTGCTATTTTGAGATCATCTCTAATTTTAAATAAATAAAAAAATTTTTAGATTCTTTCTTTTAATTTAATTATTTTTAAATTTATTTTGCAACAATTAGTAATTAATTTTTATTAATAATTAATAATTAATTAATTTTTATTATTTAGTAATAATTAATTTTTATTATTAAGTAATAATTAAATAATTTTTATTATTAAGTAACAATTAATTCATTTTTATTATTAAGTAATAATTAATTAATTTTTTGTATTGTTAATTATTTTTCATTACAAATTAATTTTAGTTTACTCTTTTTTTAAAATTTAATTATGTTTTTCCTTGCAAAATAATTTTTTCCTAATATTATAGTTTATATATGAATTTAATAAAATAAGTGCTTACGAATTTTTCTTGAATTCCAAAAGTTTTTTGAAACACGAATGTTTTCTTGAGATCTTTCTATTGTAAATAGTTAACGTACAATGAAACTAAACAGTGAGTGTCTTTTATTTAAATCTCATTCTCATCAAGGCGCTATGTTCGATAAGGAAATTATGTGTATTCGTAATAGAAATTTTGGGAAAAAACATTCATATGGTAATTAAATACAAATAAATGAGTAATTTCTATTTATCACCTGTAAATATGATTTTTATTCAGTGAATTTGTCAAAATTTTTTTTAAACGATTACACAGTTTTCAGTGTGTTGAACGATCAAATGAAAGATAACAATTTTATCAGTATAAATGACACGTATAATACAGTAAATTATTATTTCAGTGAGTAATCATTTTCTTTTTTCAAATGAATTTTACAAAATTAGAAAATGATTAATTATCAATTGATGTAAACAGAAATTATTTTTAACTTCTGAGAATAAGTTTCTTAGTTCTTTTGGTTGTCATTTTTTTCTTGTCTGTTTTTTTTTATTTATTAATTAATTTAATTGTATTGTTGTGAAATAATTAATTTATTACTAAACTTTTATCGCCGCACTATTAGCCCAGGTTTCGTTTTAAAAAGTAATTTTCAAGTAAAGCAATAAAAATTATATTTCATAAAAGAAATAAAAAGTAATATATTATAATATTTAAATTATTTTAAATGAAGAATAAAAAATTTTTTTGTAGACAAAATTTCGAAACTTCGGTTAATATTGGCTATGGAAAGGAAGAGTGAAAAAATAAACAGGCATATGGCTTTTTAAGTAAAATTTATCAATTACCAAAACGAAGAATAAATAGAGAAAAAAATATTAATTTGGAATTATTATGAATTAATTACAAATAATTAGTTATCAGTAGTTGATTATAAAAAATGATTTATTAATAAGTGCAAATAATTATTTAGCAATAATTAAGTACAAGTGCAAATAATTAATTTTATTTAGTACAAATTAATAAATAGCAATAATAATTAGTGACAAATAATTAATTGTCGACAATAATTGTTAACACATTTGAAAAAATTGACAATTTGGCATAATTAGCATAGTTAAATTTTTTTTTTTTTATTTATTTTTTCTTTTTCAAATTATTTGCCAAAGAGTTCAACAACAAAGTCGATGCCACGACTCAATTGTGAGACGAATCTCAAACCAACGTGTTGAAATCCAGGACCACCGGAGATAATAACAGCATAAGCACCAGTTCCATCGGATTTTTGATCATAAGCGGCGACTTGTGTAATTTTTGCATTACTAAACGTTATATTAATAATTCTCTCAATTGTAATGATTCTCTTCAATTCTGGACGTATATAAATATAATCCCTCGTCAAATCACTATCACCTGGTAATCTTGAACCAACAATTAAATGATGTGATTGACGTCCAACAGTTTCAATATTTCCTCCATTCTCATTAGGAATTCCCCACGAATTCACTGATAACAATAATATCACCACTATTATCGTGAAAATGAATTTGACAAATGTTTTCTCCATTATTTCAAACATTTTTCTTTCCGAAAAATTATATAGTAGTTGGTTTTTTTTATTGAAAAAAAATCACTGAATATTTTGTATTTTAATTATAAGTATAAATATTTTAATTATAAATCGGTTAAAATTGACTTTTTACAAAAGATATTAATGCAAAAAACAGTTTCTAACTTTACTGAGAATGTACATAATGAAATGAATTTTGTTTTTGAGAATAATTTTTATATTCTGCATTCTTATCAGCTGTGTTTGTTCTACAAAGTTTTTTATTGTACAAAAATAAGGAAAACTGTACTATATCGCAATCAAATGAAATGAAACTTATTATTTGGGGGTTTTTACAAGTTTTAAAAATTGAAAATTTATGTCAATTTAAAAATTCAAAATGGTGGATCCAATATGGCGAACAGTGGAAAATTTTCCCTGCATTCGAATTTTTTTTAAATATGACATTAAATTTGAAAGCAGTAACCCTAAAATGACCCAAATAGACATTTTTAGACGAATACTAAAACAAATTCTGAATTCTAAAAATCTTGGTCGCCATATTGGATCTGACATTTTGAATTTTTTAAATCTGACATTAAATTGAAATTTAGAGAACCCAAAAAGTTCAGTGACTTTAAAATAAAAATAAAATAACACTAAAATATATAAAACTGATTTTTTTTCATGAAATTAAAGGAATCGAATGAAAGTTAGTCATTCGACTTAAAAAACACAAATTTATACACAACGCAATATTATTTATTTATTTTTCTTATTTCTAAATAACTTATCGATAATATATTGTAAAGTTTTCCTTATTTTATAATAACAAATAAATTTTACAAATCAAATAAATCTGATAAGAAATCAGTATATAAGAATTATTCTTTAAAAAAAATCCATTACCTTCTCAAAAAAGTTAGAAACTGTATTTTGCTATAATAAATTTTCACAAAAATTGTTTTTAACAAATTCTAGTTTGATTAAAAGCGGGAAAATTAATATTTTTTCTTTTTTTGCAATCAAGGAAGAAATAAGGTAATAATTAGAAATTATAATTTAATTATTATAAACTGAAAAAATAATAAAACATTCAGTGAAATTTATTTTTCAATAAAAAAAAGCCAAATAATATATAATTTTTTCCTTTGAATGAAAAAAAAGTTGAAATAATGAAGAAAACATTGGATAAATTCATTTTCACGATTATAATTGTGATTTTATTATCAATGAATTCGTGGGAAATTGCTAATGGGGATGGAGGAAATGCTGCAAAACAGAGTGTTCGTTGTAGTAACTTAATTGTTGGTACAAGATCTCCATCTGATAAACTTTTGTGGAGGATAAATGTTAATGAACCACCACAATCAGGGCAATATATTACTATTAATAAACGGTTCAACGTAGACAGAATTCTTACACAAGTCAGCGCCTATAATCAATCACCAAATAATATCTGTGCTTTTCCGTCTCTTATTGGCGGTGGTCCTGGATTTAAATATGTTGAATTGAGATTCGTTTCACAAAGAAGCCGGGGTGTCGATTTTCTTGTTCTACTTTACGTCAAATAAAAATTAATTAAAAAAATAATAAATAATGAATTATTTTAATCATTCTGATTTTGTCACTTTCTAATAAAAAAATGTTCTGTTTTAAATTGTTAATAATTATTTATTAACGATTAATAATTAATTTTTTTTATGTTACATTTTGTAATTCACAAATTTAATTTGTAAATCAAATGGAGGAACCAATAAAATTATAAGATAAATTAAAATAAGAAAAATAACGATTGTTAGGTAATAATAATAATAATAATAATAATAATAATAATAATAATAAAAAAATGAAAGTTAGTAATTTGATTTAAAAAACAAAATTTATATATTACAATTTTATTTATTTATTTTTCTTCCTTCGAAATATATAAAATTCAAAATAACTTATTGATAATAAATATAGTAAAAGTTTTCCTTATTTTGGAACAAATAAATTTTACAAATCAAATAAAGCTGATAAGAATGCAGAATATAAGAATTATTCTCAAAAATAAAATTCATTGTCTTCTCAGAAAAGTTAGAAACTGTTTTTTGCTGTAATAATTTTCACAAAAAATTAATTTTTACAATTTCTTGTTTGATTAAAGACTGGAAAATTAATATTTTTCACAAGTTTATTAATTTCTTTACAAGAAAGGAAGAAATGAGGAAATAATTACAAATAAGTTAATGATTAGAAATTGAAAAAATAAAAAAACACTCAGTGAATTTTGTTTTTTAATAAAAAAAAACCAAATAAAATAAATTTTTTCTTTTAAAGAAAAAAAAAAGTGTAAATAATGAAGAAAACTTGTGGTTAATTCATTTTCACGATTATAATTGTGATTTTATTATCAATGAGTTCGTGGGGAATTTCTAATGAGGATGAAGGAACTACTGCAACTGTTGTTCGTCGTCGTAATCACTTGATTGTTGGTACAAGATCACCAGCTGATAGATTTTTGTGGTTGGAATATATTATTGAATCACCACAATTGATGAAAATTATTACTAAAGAAATAAGGATTGACGTAGGAAATAATAAAAATATTACACAAGTCAATGCATATGATCAAACATCAGATGGTACCGGTGCTTATGCCACTCTTATTTCCGGTGGTCCAGGATTCCAACACGTAGAATTGAGATTCGTTTCACAAATTGGTGGTAAAATTTACTTTGTTGTTGAACTTTATGGCAAAAATTAATTGAAAAAATAATAAATAAAAAAATTTATTTTAATGATTCGACTTTTGCCACTTGCTATAATGGAAAAAGTTCTGTTTTAAATTGTTAACAATTTGGTATTAATGATTAATAATTATTAATCATTAATTAAAACGAATCTATTTTTATTCTATGTTACATTTTATAATTTACAAATGACAGAATTTGTAATCTGTAGAGTTAATGATCTGTTACTATTACTACCGAGAAATTAGTCATTAGACTTAAAAAAGACAAAAATTTGCTCATCGACATTTATTTTTTATAACACAGTTTTCCTCATTTTTGTACGAAAAAAGAACAATGCAAATCAAATAAAGTTGATAAGAATGTAAAATAAAAATTATTCTCTTGTCAAAAAAGTTAGAAACTGTTTTTTCCATTAATAATAAATTTAGTAAAAATCTAAAAATTAATTTTTACTATTTCTAGTTGGATTAAAATAGTACATATTTTACAAGACTATTTCTTTTCCAAAAATGAGAAAATAAAGAAACATTAAATTAAATTAATTAAATTAAATTAAAAGAGGCGAAAAGTGAAAAAAATAATAAAATAATTGATTTTTTGGAGAAAGTTAATTAAATCAGTATTGAAATAATTGAATTCTTGCAAAAAATTTTATTAAAATTTCCAATTAACAATAATTAAATGGTTTTATTACAAATGTTTGAAAATAATAAATAATAATAATTTGTTAATTAGTTAATAAGTGAAGTCTTTTAATGTAGATTCAATTTAATTTAATTTAATAAATTTAATGTAGAATTTGGATTTTTCAAAAATTATTTTTAATTACTATTTACTATTGATATTTTCCTATTACTATTAATTATTGTTAAAATTATTGTTTCCTATTAAATAAGAAAATCGTTTAGAGAACTTTTGAAAAAGACGTACAATAAAAATAATAATTGTTCATTATTATTATTTTCTGTTACTGTTAATTATAAATCATTGAGAGGCAGAGAGAGAAATAAAAAATCATAGTTATGAATCGTTTCTTCCTTGTTATTAAAAATTACTTTATTTACAATAAATAAATTCTTATTAGCAAAATAATAATTACAATTGAATTTTCAAAAAAAGAAAACAATCATCGTTGATAAATTTTTGAACATTGAGAAAATTTGAAGAAAAGAGAGAACACTTTGTTTTCAAATAGAGAGAGAAAAGAATTTTTGTGAATTAAAAATAAAAAAATTAACGTGCATAGAGTTCGACGATAAAATTAATGCCATGTCCTCGTTGTGATTTAAATTTCAATGTGACCTTATCAGTTCCAGGACCTCCTTTAGTAAGTGACGCGTAGGCTCCATTTCCATTTGTTTTTTGATCCAAGGCAGCAATTTGAGTGATTCTCTGGAATTGTGTTGTGTTAAAAGTTTTTTCAACAACCACAACTTGCATCCAACTGGAATTTTTCTGGATATTCTGCCTGAGAACTAATTTATCGCCAGCTAATCTTGATCCAACAATTAAATGATGTGATTTATTTGCCGTTCCTCTTGCATAACGATTATGCTCATTTGGTATCGCATAAGAACTCACTGACAATGCAACAATAAATGTTAAAATGAGGAAAATACATTTTTTCGCCTCCATTATTTTTGTTTCTTATTTCTTTTTTTCACTTGGAAAATAATCTTCTATTTTTGTTGATTGCAAAAATAGTTAATAAACTATTTTTATATAGTTTATAATTTTAGAAGAATTTTCACTTTTTGCTTTTTATAAGTTTTTTTCTTACTGAATGCAACTGCAAGTGCTTTCGTTCAAGATTGTGGCACTTGACTAAAAAGAACAATTTGTTGAACGAGTGCGTTGTTTCCAGTGTTTTATACTTATCGAGCCTTATCTTATTCTTGATTCTTGAGAATGATGCATTATTTAGTCATATCATTTTTTTTAACAATATAAAGAAAAGGGAAAAAATTAAAAACTAATACTTACTTTATTTCGTAATCTGATTCTCGATAATTTTATAAAAGATGATAATTTACTTCGAAATTTTCTTTTGATAGTAAAACTATACTTTAAATTATCACAAACAATATTATTGTAATAACTATTCTTCGAAAAAATAATTTTTATTTTTCCACTTTACATTTTATTTTTTTTTAACATTTATAATTATTATATTTTGTTCGATGCAAAATAACAAAGTCAACTCAAGCAAAAAATAAAATACGTCTACTTTATAATTAGCATTATCCTCAGAACGTCATATAATTAGAAAAACCCTTTTTAACAAAATTCTTCATCATCTTTCTTTTATTATACATAATAATAAAGAATTTGTTTTTAATTATTCAGAAAAATTAATAATTCAATTTACAGTTTGATGAAAAAAAAAATTTTCGAGTCAAAGATAACTAAAAAAATACAAGATCATCAATTTCTTATATAATAAAATAAATGTTAAATTAAATTAATTGAATTAGTTAAATAATTAATTCGTTTTATTCAATAATTTTTTATATACGAAAAATTTATTATTTACTTCTTTACTATATAATTATTATTATCGTATTATTTTTTATTTATAATAATATGTCACAAAAATTTGATTTTGTATTTTCCTGATATTTTTTTGACTTTTAGATAAATTTTTGATTTTTCCCTAATTCCGTTAAAAAAGGAAAATTAAAAAAAATTCAATTTTAAAGAAAGAATTTTTAAAACAAAAATTTGATTTAAAAATTTGAAAAAAAAAATTTTAATTCATTTTTAATAGAATTTTAGAAAATTTAATTAATTCAATAAATTTTCTATTACTTTTTTATAAAAATTAAATTATCTCATGAAAAAATAGGACTGGAATATTTAAAAAAACTAATTTTAAATAAAATTATTTAAAACTTGAATAATTTTTTATATAAATATTTAATTATTATTAATCTCTTCACGGCCATTGAAATTTGCAAAAATTTCATTTTAAAACCTTTTGAAATTCAATTAAAAAGAAATGTTTACTAAATTAGTAATTTTTTTCTTTTAAATTAGTAAATTTTACTAATAAATTTGTGGAAAGTATACTAATAAGTTTCATAATAATTTCTTAATATTAAATAAATAAATTGTTTAGCCAATTATTACTAAATTTATTAGTAGTTTCTACTAATATTTTACTGCTACTTCTTACTAATTTTTACTAATTACTTTTAGTAATTGAAATTAGTAAATATTTTTACTAATTCAATTTTAGAGTAACAATTATTTTATTCGAGTAAATATTAGGTAATCTGACAATAATCGTCAATTTGAATCAAATAATATTTTTTTCAGATGTAAAAAAATAATCTATTTATAAAAAGTGACCAACAAAAGTAAGTGATAATTTATAATCACAAAATAATTAGGTTTCTGGGAAAAAAATCCCCAGATGATAAATAAAATTAGTCCAAAAAGTTAAAAAGACTAAGATATCATTCGAAAATATATATTTTTATCAATATTCCTCATCAACAGGTGTATTGCGATAAAAAAAAACATTTCCTTATTCCACTTTGTATGCATGTGAAAGCATATTTTTATAATAAATGAATTCATTTGTCGAGAATATATTAAAAACAATGTTATTCTTATGATATTCAAATTTTCATTATTACTTAATAAAATTTGTATATCTCAATTAAATTAAAACATTAAATTATGAATTTCTGTAATTCGTGAAACATGATTATCCTACATATCATTAATTTAATCACCTTATCATATTTCCGATAAATTGTAGATGCGATAAAATATATGAATCATACATATTATTAATATTAACATATAATATTATTAAAGAATATAATGTCTTATCATTTCTCAAGGATTAAAACAAAATTTTGTTAATTATATGAGAAATTATTAATTTTCTGTTTCTGAGCACATATTCTTATTCTTCTTATCGAATAAGAAAATATTGAACGGCAATATATATATTATTATTATAATTATTATTATTTTTATATAAAAAATGATACAAAATATAGCAATATTATTATATTTAATAAATAATTTCTAACGCCTGATAGCAGCTTGTTAAAAGCTATCATAATACACGCGGAGAACTACTTAACCCACAAAACTTCTAAGTGCTTTCACTTTATAAAGGGTCTTGTGTTCGCCACATTTTGGCCAAATGCAAATTACATTCAATAAGACGTTCTTATTCTCATTTGAACGACAATGCAATAATTTTCATCTCAAGACATCTAATGACTGTATAATTAGATACTTTTTTTTTAGCGAAAATAACTTTTTCTTTCGCCATTGTCGTATAAAACTATTTTCTTCATCCAAAATTAAAAAGAAAAGAAATTTATAAAGACATTTTTTTAACATTAAATTATAAGTTTTGGTCAACTTTGTTTCTTTAAAAAAAAATTAGGGGTAAGTTTTTTTAAAAATATATAATAAATAATAAATAGTTCCAATAAATAATAAAAATTAGCTTAAATTTAAATTCAACTCACCGAATTGTAGAAAATCTTTTTTGCCGAGCCCCAAAATTATTTCATTTGAAAAATAGTAAATAAAAAATCCATAATTAAAATGAAGTAAATAATAAACTCGCGTAGGTAAACATTTTATTATTTATGTAGACTAACAATTAATTGATGCGCTTTAAATTCAAACTTTTTGACTTTTGTTTAAGCAAAAAGTTTTGTTTGACCCAATGCGAAAATTTCGATTCGTTTCATTTATATATAATATTAAAAAAAACTTCTCTTGGTAAATTCTCTTTTCTTTTTCCTTCATGCTCCTCTTTTTTTTGTTTTTTTTTCTAATTATTAAAACAAGAATAATAATTCTAACAATTTACAGAACTCTCGTACACTAAAACGCAAGCATCGTGGTTTCATTAAACGAAATGAAGAGCGTGCATAGTGAATTTAAGCTTTCATAGTTTATTAACTATTTCTACGAATCCGCGTGCCAGTTTAATTAAAATAGAGCTTACATATAAAATTACTGTAGCTCATCAGACAGACGAGCTTCCTTTATCTATATAATTTTCAATTCTTGTTTGTTCATTTACAATAATAAAAAAAATAATAATCATAACCATAAAAATAGTAATAAATAATAATAATAATAATAATAATAATAATAATAATAATAATAATAATAATAATAATAATAATAATAATAATAATAATAATAAAAACAATAACATTAATAATAATTATTATTATTTGTTACTTTTATTATCATGATTATTATCAAAATAGTATGATAATAACAATATGAAATAACAATAATAATAATAACAATAAAAAATAACAATAATTCCTGCGATTTAAAAAGAAATTAATTAATTTTTTAATTATAATAAAAAATTACAATTGTTAAAAATAAAATATATTATAATAACATTTCCAAAATTGTATGAAACAGAAAATTGAATAGAAGCAGGAAACAAAAAAATAATTAAAAATACTAAAATATTAATTAATATAAATTAATTATAAACTAACTTTTTATTAACTTTTTACCAACTTTTTAAAATAAAATTAGCGATTCTAAAAATAATACAACGTAAAATTTTTTTAATCAAATTTATTTTCATAAAAATAAAATATGAATTGGAATAGGTAGTTTTAATATTATTATAACTAGAATAATTATATATTCTGATACAGGAAATTCAAGGGAAAGTAAGTGATTTTTATTAAAAGTACTGAAAAAAATTAAATTTTTAGAATTCATAAGAAAATTCTGAATTTTTGTGTCTTTTTTGGTTTGCCTCAAAAAATATGAAATTACCATGAATTCTAATACAAAACCTTCAATTTTTTCATTTTCTGCGACAATAATTTCTTTTAAAATAACTTAAATCTTGAGGAACAATCATAAAAAGAAAATTATTCAATGTTGAATGAATTTAATTAGAAATTTTAATGAACTTAGATTTTTGAAAAATTTTGATAATATTCAAAATCTTCTAAAATTAGTTAAATTTGTCAATATACATATTATATTTAATTAAATTATTCAAAATAATGGATTTATAGAAGAATTTCAGTTAAAAACACTAAAAAAAAATTGAATTTTGAAGAAGTTACAAATGATTACAAACATTCAATTATTTTCAAAATTTACAAAAAAATCTCGACAAAATCCTAATTATTATCTTTATAAATAAAAATATTCTTCTTCAAAATTCAATTATTTTCAAAAATTTTAATAAAATTATTGTCAAAATTACAATTATTTTCAAAAATTTTCCTCATTCCAATGATTTTTAATATCTACTATTTTAATAAAATTACCCAAAAGAATTCAATTATTTAAAAACAATTTTAATAAAACTGTACGCAAACGCTTGATTATTACAAATTTCACAGGAATTCAATTATTTACAAATTTTTTATAAGTTTCTTCTCAATAATTCAATTATTTTCAGAAATAATAAAACTCATCGCACAATTTCAATTATTTTTAATACAATTTCAATCTAATTTCTCGAAAAATGAATTATTTTTAAAAATTTTATTGAAATTCCTCAAAAGTATTTTAATTACCTATTTAAAAATTTGTTGATAAAATTATTTAAATGAGAGTTCAATTTTAAAAAACATTAATTTCTTCAATAAATTGAAAAAAAGAGTTAAAAAAAAGAGTTATTGATGTTTTTGAATAATTTTACAATTAAAGAAATTTGTAAATAACAGAACATTTTTTTGAGTAAATTTTTTCCTTTATTTCTAAAAATTAAAAAAAAAACACAAAAACTAACTTCAAACTGCGGACAGAGTGAATAAAATGGAATGAAAGAATATGAAGATTAATATAGTTAACTTGACAAAATATGGAAAATTTTCT